CAGCTTCCCCCTGCTCTTTGGCAGTAGCTTTTTAACCTGTCTCCCTGCCTCTAGTCTCACTTTTTCATTAGTAATAATTCCAAAATAAGGTTTGATCCTTTTAGACATTTAAAATCTTCCAGTGCTTTCCCATCTCCACAGACTGATTTTTAAACTGTTTAATACAAAACACAATCTCTGCCTCATCTGCTACTTTCTTACCTGGAATCATGTATTTCTGGTCTATCAAAGCTATTTCCTGTTGGCTGAGCAAGCTGAATTCTATCCCTCCTCCCTGTATGTTCTTGTTTCTTTTTTCTTTTGGTATAGAGTATCTTTCCTCAGTTGTCACTGTTCCACATTCTTGCTTGCTATTTCCTTTGATCAGGCTTCAAACTTGAAGTCTCTTCTAAGTAGACATCATTTCATTCAGTTCCTGTCAGTGAATCTTGTGAGAGAAACTATAATATGTAAAACATTTTGCACACTTCTTGGAATATAGTTAAGTGTTCACTAAATGTTAACTATTCTAACACTAAATTGTAATGATTTTTTATATGACTATATCCCACTTGATGTGAGGCCTGAGAGGCAAAACACCATCATATTCATCTTTGTACTCTCAGCAAATTGTACATGTATGCCTGATATAAGACTTACTAAATGTTTTGGTGAATGAAAACAGTGATGGACCAATGGAGAATTTCAGATGATTTAAGAGTTTGTGCCTAAGTGAGAGAGGGTGCTTGACTCTAGGAGGAGGTATAAAAGAAGCTTTTCTTTTATGCTAAGAGAGTAAGTGAGGAGGAAAGAAGAAGTAGTGATTAAGATTCTGGATATATGCTGACTTTGAGCTGTTTTCATGAAAGAGACAGCTAGAAAATGTGGTACTACTACATAGGATGGAGGAGGACTGAAAACTTAGGCCTCCACATTTATTCCTAAAAACTCAGCTCTAATTGGCAACTCCTGCAGTGTTTCTGGGTGATCTAAAGCATGACTTCTCATTTGTATACTGATAATGAGTTACTGTGTATCAAGATGTTGATACCTTCAACCTTTGGGGCAAGGCTGACTCTGCCAAGGCCATGGGGCAAACCCTGACTCTTGCCCAATTGTGCTATATAAATATTATTTTCTGTGTATGTTGTGATATGAAAAGCACTGACCTAAGATATGTGCTTGAAATCATTTAAAACAGAGGAATTTAACAGGTAATATTTTCAGAAAACAACTCCCAATAATAACATACATAAAAACAATGATGAAAAGAATTTGCGCCTTAGACTTACATTTCAATTTTTAATAAATTCCTGCTTGTTGCAGTTGATACTTATTTTAGTTCATATTTTGTATTTTTATTACATGTACATTTTATAGTTTTACATGGATAGCAAATCCACTTGAAATTACTGTATCCATAATTTAACACAAACTTTTCACTAATAGTTATATGTATTTTACAAAATCTTAACATTTTATATTGATCTTTGAAAATAGTACTTG